GTGTGTGTGTGTGTGTGAGTGTGTGTGTGTGTATATGTGTGTGTGAGAGAGAGAGTGCGTGCGTGATGTGTGTGTGTGTGCGTGGTGTGTGTGTGTGTGTGTATATGTGTGTGTGAGAGAGAGAGCGCGTGTGTGTGAGTGTGTGTGTGTGTGTGAGTGATGTGTGATGTGTGTGTGTGTGTGTGTGAGTGTGTGTGTCACCTGTATGGTGTGGCTGTAGATGGGCTCCCCGCGGCCCGTCACGTCCACCGCTCTGCTGATCTCCAGAATGTTGTTTGGCACGTATCCCGAAGCGCCCATCCCGTTACGCACCTTCCACCACTGCTTCCTGTCATCCAGCACCTGACGGCCAATCAGATCGACACGTCACATGACACATCATCATCATCATCATCATCATCATCACGTGACGTACCTCCACCACCTCGTCTTTCATCACAGACAGTTCAGTGTTGTTTCTGGCCACAAAGTCATATCTGGATTTGGCAAAGTTTCTCTGCGTCTGGCCGTGAGCCTCCAGGTTCCTGAAGAGAAAGAGTCAAAGAACCTCAACAAATGAGACGCAGCCAAAAATCACGTTTGCCTTGTTTTTCAGTACAAACAGACAGATTCACTTGAGAAGCAAAATGACTTAAGCTGTTGTTTTATTGCCTTGTTTTTCTGAAATAATAATCCAAATTAAGTGACTTTAAGCTTAAAATAAAAACTAATATCTGCTAATAATCAGAAAAATAAACTTGCTTTTTTTAAATCAAATTTGCTGTTAATGCAAACAGCATAAATTTGGTCAAGTGTTTTTTTTATTGGAATTATATTGATAAATATATAAAAATAAATAATATTTCACACTCATTTCCTTAAGTAAATCTATTTTATACAAGGTGCAAAAATAGGACAAAAATGTCCCCATTAAAACGGCTGTATTTAATCTCAGTGCAATACAAGCATAAAATCATGCATTCTTTGTTAATAGGCTTTCATTCTGTTGGCAAGTGTTTTTTCAGCTTTTTATTCTTTTCCACCTTATTGCACCATTTTCTCAGGTTTGGTTTATGGAGCAGATACTCATTCTGTTCATGTTTTCTGCTTCTGCTGGAAAAAAAGGCCAATTGAATTGAAATGATGTAATTATAATTGTGTGGGTGTGTTGGTATGAATATCAGAGTGTGGGTTGTGTATGTGTGTGTGTGTGTGTGTGTGTGTGTGTGTGTGTGTGTGTGTGTGTGTGTGTGAGAATGGTCGTTTTTTTAATCTTAATTAAACCCAAGTCTATAATAATTAAATAAATAAATCTGCTTAGCATTTAGAATATGCAAAATAATTGTTTTTTGGTGTGTTTTTTTAACTTTATTCCTTTTGCATCTCAAGTAAAGTATCTTGGTTTAACAATGTTGGCATATTTGCACTGCAAAACAAGACAAAAATGCTGAGGAAGAACATGATTTTTTCCAGCGTAATCTCTTAAACACAAGCTCGCTCTCTTTACATGTTGAATCTACTGATGAATGTCGTTATTGACCGACTGCTGCCGCCGTGGAGGAGCGTCTCAGAGCTCGAGAACGAGACGGGAAGAGAGTCTTTACTCCGTCTGAAGACGCTTTAACAGACTGAGAGCTCAGGTCAGAGCTGAGAGTTTGAGAAGCAGAATGAACCCAGAAGCGTAGCGCGCGCTGAGCCGGTTCTCCAGGGCGCGCGGTGCAGTCGCTTGTACCCCGGTGGGTTTTACCTATCTACATGATGGCTGACCGCGTGTTTAAAAGCAGCCACGGCCATGTCTGGCTCCAGCAGGTGCAAACGCTTGTAAGAAGTGTGACTGTAGCCGTACCCGTCTGCACCGGGGAAGTCCTGGACTACCAGCTGCTGTCGGGAGAGAAAAAAACCGCTTTCACTTCATCAAATACTTCACAGCGTCACACTGTAAGTGTTAAAGGTGAAAGAGCATCTCACGTCCACAGGTCTCTGAACCTCGGTCTGCGCCGCGCCGCGCCTCTCCGCCAGCTGAGCCACGTCTTGCTCACGAGACACCAGCACCGGCGGCTCCCAGCCGTCCCGGAAACACAGCGTGTGCGGAGGAAACGGGTGATCCTTCGGCCACTCCAACCTCCACACAAGACAAAAGTATCTCTAAAGCGCTTTTCACAATACACATGCTTTTTTTGTTCTGTTAACAGATTTAAATGTTATTTGATTTAGTTCGATTAAAAGATTTGAATATCGGTCAGTTTTGTAATGTTAAATTATTTAAATATCAGTTAGTTTTGTTCTGCTCAAATGTATTAATAGCGGATGGTTTTGTTCTGTTAAGACATTTAAATATCGGTTGGTTTTGTTCAATTAAGAGATTTAAATGTTGTTAGATTTTATTCGATTTAAAAGATTTAAATATCAGTCTGTTTTTTTCTTTTAAAGAGATTTAAATACAAGTTGGTTTTGTTCTGATAAAATATTTAAATATCAGTTTTGTGCTGATAAAATGTTTTAATATCGGTCATTTTTATTCTGTTAAGAGACTTAAATATCGGTTGGTTTTGATCTATTAATCAAATATTTAAATGTCTGGTCGGCTTTGTTATATTTAGAGATTTATCAGTTTTGTTCTAATAAGACATTTTCATGTTGGTTGGCTTTGTTCTGTTAAGAGATTAAAATATTACGTTTTTGTTCAGTTAGGAGAATTAAATATCGGCTGGTTTTGTTTTGTTAAAATTTTTAGATATCAGTTGTTTTCGTTCAGTTAAGAGATTTAAATGATGTTTGATTTTGTTCAATGAAAAGTTTTAAATATCGGTCAGTTTTGTTCTATTAAGAGAGTCGTTCCAGTACCTGCATTTGGTCCATCCGTCTCCCAGCGTGACCCACAGGTGTCTCTCCTCCGCCGAACCCACCGCGTGCAGGAAGTCAATGGCTTCTCTGGTGAGGAGAGGAACGATCACGCTTTTAGCCAGATCCACCCCTCCAGACGTCTGGATCACCTGAGACACACACACACACACACACGTCAGTCCGACAGAACGGCTGTTCCACACCCACACACACACAAACACACACACACACTCACACAAACACACTCACACAAACAGACACACACTCACACTCACACACACACACACACACACACACACACACACACACACACACACTCACACAAACACACTCACACACTCACACAAACAGACACACACTCACACACACACACACAAACACACACACACTCACACAAACACACTCACACACTCACACTCACACACTCACACTCACACAAACAGACACACACTCACACTCACACAAACACACGTCAGTCCGACACACCGGCTGTTACACACACACACACACACACACACACGTGATCAGAAGACGCACCAGTCTGAGAGGATTGAACAGGAAGTGGACCAGATCTACAGCGCTGGGGTTCTGAATGTGGTTCTTCAACTTCCCCTGGAACGACAAACAATAATCACATCACAGATAATCTAAATGAGATTCTCCTGCTAAAAATGTTCGTTACTGGGATGGGGACCTGGCTATCGTCACTCACCAGCAGGTTGAAGGCGTGTTTGAACTTCTGGAAACAGTCGATAAACTCGTCCTGAGACGAAGGTTTAGCTCTCAGCGTCAAAACCCCCTCTGATTGAAGACACACAGCAAACACACTCATGACACACTGACGATGAGGATGATGTGGATGTGTGATGTGAGGTGACGCTCACCTCCCGGTCCTCTCTTTTTGCTCTTCTTGGTTTTCTTGCGTTTGGAGAGCTCATTAAAGGCCTCGGCGGCTTTCTGCAGTTTGGTGACGAAGTGTTCGATGTCGTCCAGAATGTGATTGAGGATTTGCTGTAACACATGTCAGTATTTTACCATCTGCTGCACAAACACACACACACGTGACTCTCGCACACACACACACACACACACACACACAGATACACACACACACGTGACTCTCGCACGCACACACACACACACACAGACACACACACGTGACTCTCGCACACACACACACACACGTGACTCTCGCGCACACACACACACACACACACACACACAGATACACACACACACGTGACTCTCGCACGCACACACACACACACACAGACACACACACGTGACTCTCGCACACACACACACACACGTGACTCTCGCGCACACACACACACACACACACACACACAGATACACACACACACGTGACTCTCGCACGCACACACACACACACACAGACACACACACGTGACTCTCGCACACACACACACACACGTGACTCTCGCGCACACACACACACACACACACACACACAGATACACACACACACGTGACTCTCGCACGCACACACACACACACACAGACACACACACGTGACTCTCGCACACACACACACACACGTGACTCTCGCGCACACACACACACACACACACACACACAGATACACACACACACGTGACTCTCGCACGCACACACACACACACACAGACACACACACGTGACTCTCGCACACACACACACACACGTGACTCTCGCGCACACACACACACACACACACACACACAGATACACACACACACGTGACTCTCGCACGCACACACACACACACACAGACACACACACGTGACTCTCGCACACACACACACACACGTGACTCTCGCGCACACACACACACACACACACACACACAGATACACACACACACGTGACTCTCGCACGCACACACACACACACACAGACACACACACGTGACTCTCGCACACACACACACACACGTGACTCTCGCGCACACACACACACACACACACACACACAGATACACACACACACGTGACTCTCGCACGCACACACACACACACACAGACACACACACGTGACTCTCGCACACACACACACACACGTGACTCTCGCGCACACACACACACACACACACACACACAGATACACACACACACGTGACTCTCGCACGCACACACACACACACACAGACACACACACGTGACTCTCGCACACACACACACACACGTGACTCTCGCGCACACACACACACACACACACACACACAGATACACACACACACGTGACTCTCGCACGCACACACACACACACACAGACACACACACGTGACTCTCGCACACACACACACACACGTGACTCTCGCGCACACACACACACACACACACACACACAGATACACACACACACGTGACTCTCGCACGCACACACACACACACACAGACACACACACGTGACTCTCGCACACACACACACACACGTGACTCTCACGCACACACACACACACACACATACACACACGTGACTTTCGCACACACAAACCATCAATCTGACTGAAAGTCTTCAGGATGCCTTTTATCCACTGCAAAATATTATTATATTATAAAATTGCATTATAAACTGCAATCGCAATTTGTTTCCCCAATTCAGCCTGTTTTTTAATGAAATCGTCACATTGAAATCACATTTTTTAAAAGTCAAATTTAAGGCTTTTTAAGACCTGAAGAAATAAAAATCAATACTGTACATTAGGGGTGTGCAAAATTAACAATAAATGATATCTCGATATTTTCAAAGATTCTGTTGATGACTAAAATTAGATGATATTTTGTGTTTTATAGTGTTTTAGGCCTGTTGTGAACAGCTGACTCGAGAAGATGTTCATATTATTCATATTCTATGTGGTGGTCAGTTCACAGCAGTGACAGAAATTTACTTTTTTATTAAAGGACAATATTTGTCACCTTAAAATGATTTACAGGGGCATTTCTACCTATACAAGGAGTTTTTTTCTATACTTACATTTGTATGCATCACCAAAATTCTAACATTTAAAATAAGTTCAATTAGAACTTACCAATCAAATGAAATTATTTTCAACAAAATAGCTTAACAGTGCAGAGGTGACAGAAGTGGCATTAGCATAAATAATGCAATGAGATTGTTTTTTAATCCAATATTTAAATAAGAAATTATTAATAATTGTAACTTTTTAATTAAAAGGTACCTTAAATATCAAACTAAAACTGCTAGTAGGTGACGGCAAGTCTTAAGGAGTGAGCTGAGTGAGTCATTCATTCAAACGATTCGTTCAAACCGCAACCACTGAATGAGTCACTGAATCATTAATTCAACTGATTTGTTCAAAACGCAGATTCATTCAGTAACGAATCACTGCTGTGTGTTGTTCAGAGACTCGGTTCTGCTGTGGTTTCATTCTGAAATTTTCGTTGGCGAAATAAAGGAAAAACGAACAGTACTGACAGTGTTGTGTCTAAAATGTAACCCACAATGTTAACTTATTGTTTATTTAACTGTTGTATAAAATAAATATCACAGTTGCAATCGTGCTGATATTTGGGAAAAACGGCACTCTTTCTCATGTGATATTTTGATATAACTACATATTTCGATATAAATAAGACATCAAATCACTGGAGGTAAAAATGCCAGTGTATCTTGAATTTTTGGGTCATATAACTGCATACATATCCCACACCCCTATGAACATAAAGAATCAACTTACAACTGAACTTACATTTACTCATTTTCTTCTCCTTCTCGCTCCCTTTCGCGTTCAAGAGACAGAGACAATACGTAATACGCTGTCATAAATGCCACGAGTTGTCACGAGAACAGGCAAATCCCCAAAGAATAGTAAAAATTATATAATGCTAATTCGGTAGTTTTATGTTGGTAAAGTATTTAGATGTGTGAGCCTGCAGCACAAAAGCAGTGTTGAGTCGCTGGGGGATATTTGTAGCAATAGCCAACAATACATTGTATGGGTCACAATTATACATTTTTCTTTTATGCCAAAAATCATTAGGATATTAAGTAAAGATCATGTTCCATGAAGATATTTTGTAAATTTCCTACCATAAATATATCAAAACTTAATGTTTGATTAGTAATATGCATTGCTAAGAGCTTCATTTGGACCACTTTAAAGATGATTTTCTCAATATTTTGTTTTTCAAATAGTTGTATCTCGGTCAAATTCATATTTCATATGATGCATACATCTCAATTTTAAAAAACTGACACTAAAGACTGGTTTTGTGGTCCAGGGTCATATATGTCTAAGTCAAAGCGTCATCTAAAAAAAGTAAAAATAGGACTTTTAACAAAATAAATTTTAACAATCAAATGTAATACTTTTTAGGACTTTTTAAGGATCCGTGGGAGCAGGAACAGGATGTCGTCGTGTATCAGTGTAAAAACTCACCACATCTCTGTCCACTTGAGCTGCGCTCATTTCAGGAGAGTCTTCCAGCTCTGTGTAATGTCTCTGTGGATCATCTGAGGACAAACACACACACAATGAGACTCTGGGACAGGAACTCGAGGGTTAACAACAGACACGCCTCCACTCACGCTCCTGTTGCTCATTGGTCCACGCAGACCAGCTGGCCACTCGGCTCTTGGCGTCCGCTTGATTGACAGCTCCTGGAGGGTTGGGGGCGTGGCCTCCTGGGGGCGGAGGGATAGTTCCGTCACTCTTCAGAATCATTCTGACGGGGCACAGAGAAGCGGATGCTGCGTTACCGTGGCAACAGGCATCTTTATAATTGACAAGTGCTGGACTTACTTCAGCACCTCCGGACGCTTCTTGACCTTCCCGCACTTGTGGTCGCTGATGGCGCTCTCGATGTCCACGTGGATCAAATTGGCCTGAGGAAGTCAAAGCACACGGTCAGTACTGTGCAAACGCGTGAACGTGACGAACGCTGCGGTGATGCCCGACCTTGATGTCGTCGCACTGGAACAGGTGCAGGTCCGGTTTGCCCTGGCTGGACTCCTTACACACCAGTGCCAGGATGGAGTCGTAGCTGCAGGCGTTCATCACGGCCTGACAGTGCTGGATCGAGCCCAGAGGAAAGTTCTCCAGCTCGTTCTGAAACACACACACACACATGCATGTGATCAGGCCACACGTGTATCATCGGGGGTCTGACGGCGGATCGGTGGGTTCGTATCCAGGGATTAAAGTGTTCCGTCGCTACGACGGATTTCCGTCAGTTCATAAAGACAGTCACTTGCTTCATTCCGGAATGATTCAATTGTTCGAACGAATCAATTAAATTAATGAATCCGTGATAAAATCAGTGACTTGCCGCCACCTGCTGGCGGATTTAGTTTAATTTTTAGCACATAATTTCATATTTCTGTATTCAAAATTGTATATTTAAAACATTAATCTCCACATGAATTTATGAATTTAATTGCACTCATGCTACCTCTAAGCCTCATTAAATGTCTGAAAATCATCTTCATCATCAATCACCTTCTGATCAATAATCAAAAATTCTGATCAAAAATTAGCCTTCCTAATACGAGGTGACATGTGACTCCTTAAAGTGACTGACAGGAGTATTTTCTTTTTACCTTTGCAATGGCATAATTTTCATCTACGTCAAATTCAAAAATGTATGTTTATAATCTTTTTAAAATTTCTATTTAAAACAATATGTAGAATAAGACAAATAAGTTACCAATCATATGAAATTAGTATTAATAAATTAATTTCTACTACAGAGGTGGTGCAGAAGAACACAAAAGTGGCTTGTAGGGACATTTTCAGACGTTTAATGAGGTGGCACGAGGGCAATTAAATAAATAAATTAATGTGGAGATTAATGTTTTAAATATACAATTTTGAATACAGAAATATGAAATTATACGCTAAAAATGAAACTAAGTCTGCCAGCAGGTGGCGGCAAGTCACTGATTTTATCACTGATTCATTCATTCAATTGATTCGTTCGAATGACTGAATCATTCAGGAATGAAGCAAGTGACGGTCTTTATGAACTGACGGAAATCCGTCGTAGCAACGAAACTTTAATCCCTGCGCACCTTGCTTTCGTGGTCGATGAGGCTGACGGCTTTCCCATCCACCTGCAGGATCATGTCCTGCGTCCAAACCTTTCCTTTAGCGTCCAGCAGACGCAGCTTTCTGACGCCGTCCTCGATGGTCAGCATGGCCTCCTTGCGGTCCATCACAAACGTGGACAGATGCTGCAAGAGACAAAAGTCAAGTCACCTTTATTTCTATAGCACTTTATTGATTCAAAGCAGACAGAAAAACACAGAGCTTCTCAACTTGGCTTTGGTTTGCTTTTAGGGTTTAAAAGAATTAATATTCAGTAACATTTTTTAATTGAACTGCATTGACACTATTGGATGAGAATAAAATCTGAACTGAATAAAGACTTCTGCGGAGCTGCTTTACAGGTAAATTGATGAATTTTGCAATATTTTTCCTGTTTATTACGGAGAAGCTGCTTTGAAACAGTCTGTATTGTATAAAGCGCTATAGAAATAAAGGTGTGTCATGACGTGGTTATTATAGTTAACTAAAACTGAAACTAAAATTTTAAATAAAAAACATTTGTTACATGAAATATAATAAATGTTAACTGAAATAAAAATAAAATCTAAAAAAGTCATTTTCATTCAATTCAATTCAAGTTTATTTGTATAGCGCTTTTTATGATACAAATAGTTGCAAAGCAACTTTACAGAAAATTAAGTTTCTACAATATTTAGTAGTAGCTTATCAGTGGTGACTGTCAACATTTCTCATTTTCATTTAGTTTAACTTGATGCACTAAAATAATTCAAACGTAAACTGATTATTAAAATCTACACAGACATATATAAAAATAACAGAAACTACTAAAAATTATAAAATTGCTAAAACTTTAGCTGACACTAAAATAAAAATGCAAAACATAAAAATAAAAACGCATTCTAAAGTATTAATTAAAAACTATAATAGTATGATGCCTAAATAACATGCTTCAGGACAAAGAATTTACACTGGCAGCCAAATTCATATTTATACGAATTCATTCATATTTAAAGTGCATGACTTTCTTTTTTGTAAAATAAGATATTTTGAAGAACGTTAAAGTTTAAACAACATTGGACCCCATTGACTTCCATTGCATGGACAACACTTTCAAAATATCTTCTTTTACAGAAGAAAAAAAGTCATACAGGAGTCAATGATGACAGAATGATCATTTCTGGATGAATTATACTTTTAATGTCACCTGTGTTGTATTCTCCTGGTTTCTGAGGATGAGTTCATGTGTTGATGTGTGTCTAATTGCTTAATACAGAGTCAGAACTGATCCTAGTGTGATCAGATCTTCACTCATTCTCCTGAACGGATGCGTGTCTCACCTCCACATGGTACTGTGACGTGTCCGTCAGGCTGTTGATGCTGTTTTTGGTGTAGTTCTTCCTATGTTCTGAGGAAAGAGCAGATGTCGTTATATAATCGCCGTCAGAAGCACACAAGCGCGTCCAGACGGAATCTGCATCTTCTGCTGTGATTCTGGAGCTCTACACAGCTGATCGATCAGCCTCAATCGGGAACAGATTCTGTGTGGACGCGTAAGACCGAACACATCAACTCACACGCGTGTGAGGAGTTCATGACGCAGGAGCAGATTCAGCTGGGAAACTAGCAGGAGAGGAGAAGACTGGACACACACACACACACACACACACACTCACACACACCCACTCACACACACACTCACTCACTCACTCACACCCACTCACACACACACTCACTCACTCACTCACACACACACACACACACTCACACACACCCACTCACACACACACACTCACACACACACACTCACACACTTTATGCTCTCAATAAAGCAAATGAACATTTTCCACCCATTTTGATGATTGCAAATCAAAAATAGTATAATATATTATGTAGACTATATTATACATCATGATAATATTTCGTGGCTTTACTAAAATTTTTCACATTACAGTATTTGTTTAGTTGAGAATAACTGATCTGAACTGAATTGATCTGAATAATGACTCTATCGTCTAACGTTGAGCTGAAATTGAACATATCATAGCTGATGAATTTTCCAACATTAACACTGAATCAACACTGAACTGAATAATGACTCTATTGTCTTCTGTAGAGATGCTTTAAATTGAATTTGCGTCGTAACTGATGAATCTTGCATCATCAACACTGTTGTTTTCTCTTGTGAAGCTGTATTGTATAAAGCATCTTGACTGTATTTTTATTATTATTGCGGTGAAATACGAGTCAGATGTGTTCTCATGCAAACACAGTAGAACATATCAATATGAATCTTTCGGATGAATCCCTTCTGAACGTCTTCATCATGTTCTTCACGTCACACACTGAATAACACAATCCCATAATCCCTCCTGGAGCGCGTTGTCATGGTGACGCAGCATTCAGGAGGGTTCAGGGGCACTGCAGTTCCCTCAGCAGACAGCAGGGGGACACACGTACCGTACAGAGCTTTACCACCCGACCTTTTGGCAGGAACATCTGGAGACAGTGAGCCATGACCGCTGAGAGAGAGAGAGAGAGAGAGAGAGAGAGAGAGAGTTAGTACACTAGCGCTCATCCATACTCACACTTTCCCTGCTGTTCTTCTAGGACCGAAGTGAATTAATAATCATTGTGACACGTGTTCTGTCCTCAGTCACTCACGGCCTGTGTGTGTGTGTGTGTGTGTGTGTGCGCGCGTATGTGAGAGAGAGTGTGTGGGTGTGTGTGTGTGTGTGTTTGTGTGAGAGAGAGAGAGTGTGAGTGTGTGTGTGTGTGTG